TTTTTGTTTCTTTTTTCTCTTCTTTTTTTCCTCAAATAAACTTCCATAAGGGTGGTGGTTTGCTAACCTGTCTCCGTGCCATTGTATGCTTGCAACACTTTTTTGCTAGTGTAGAGCTTACTCAGTTTAATTGACATTATTGAATCTTTCTGATGTTGCTGCTCCTTTTCTTTTGTTATTTTCTTTTTCTATACATCTGTATTTTGTAGAATATGGTTCCGTTATTTCATCTATAAACACACATATTTTTCTCTCGTAGGAAACGATGGAGGCTATCATTCGACAGAAGCTGCAACTAAACACACAGCTGTAAAAATACAGCCAATTGCAGTCCCTTCTATTTCGGCGGATGTACTGAAGGAATTTACCAGTAACTTTAGCACCTTTTGTTGAATAAATATGTTACTTATTCCATAAGTTGTTTTCTCTTGGACATATCATGATTACATAGAAAGAGTGCTTCCACATTTTTTATATTTAATGATTGTAGCCTTTTTTAATCTAGCAAGTTTGTTTTCTTTATTCCACAAATGATTTTGTTCTGTCAGTGGTAATTGGATTTGTGTCGTCCACCCATACAAACCGGTTACAGTTCCAGAAACGCCCTGTAATTCGATAGTTTACATATGAATTTATGTCTACATTATAATTGCTAGACCATTTTATTATTTATCAACTTATACTTACTAGAACTAAAGACAGAAAAAATAAGGGTTTTGAACTTGATATACAAAATGAGATTATGATTTATCTAGTTTAGAATTGTAATGTAGAAGTGGAGTACTTTAACAAACTAAGAGTTTTGGATTGTCAAAAAAACCATCTCCTGTGTACAACCAAAATATATTACTAATGTATCCAAGCATTGCTCTTTGCTATGATGCAGTCGCTATCACATCTTTGGGAGAGTTCAAATCCATGAGCATTAACAAGCTGAAAGAAATGTTTAAAAAAATTCAATTGAAGAAATCATATATCAAGTTAAATTAAAATAAAAAAGAAATAAAGCCTTAATTGAAGTATTAATTTTTACAATGCCACTTAACTCTTTAATCTTGTTTTTACTTGAATTATAACGTGTGTTTTTCTAATTTTTTCAGCTAGTGTTGTAACTGTTCGAACCAACAAGCAAAGAGAGCAGACCGATAATTTAATTTGACGAAGTCTTATAAGATTTTTTTATTGTGTTTTAAAGTTTTTTCTTTTATTTTAAACTAAATTGGAACATTCGTCGACTTGAAAGCCTCTGACCCTGTTGCTATTTCGCTGCATTTTGTTGAGTTTTTTTCTTATGAATTGTTCGTTATGAAGATGATTCGACATTATTTTTAACTAATGTTTTTTTATCTCACCGCCGGCTTGTCTACTTCTTACCTTTTCCTTTAATCGACATTTTAGTTTACCATGCTTCTGGTTCGTTTGGAAGATATGTTCATGCACGAAAATCAATTGGAAGTGAAAAAGTAACGATTTTGGAGAAATTTGCATGTCTATCTTGGGGTTGTGTTGGTTCGTAGAGAAATAGCAGCTGTGCAAATTTTTCACTACCTATAAGAAGGGAAAATTTAAAACAAACATATAAGCAAAACTTAATTACAGAGGCTAGTGAAAAAAACAATTACTATCAGTTTTCCCTCATGTTGTGGTCTCATTAAATGTTCGCAACAAGTACCAACATGAACAATAAATCAGGACCAAGAGAAAGGAGGCAGTAGATGCTATTGCACAGACACTAAGGCACTAGAAAAAATATATCATCAGGATTTTAAATAGTAAACAATATTTTTTTTTTCTTCAACCAATTGTCCACTGCAAGAACTGAAACTGCTATTAGATGGAATATACTCCACAGCAGCACAACAATAGCTTATTTATATTACAGAAAAGGAAAGAAATATAGATTTATTCGCACAACCAGTTGATAGCTGGCTTCACTAAATTCATAATTATCTTCCATTGCTTTAAACTGATCATTATTCATGCAAGTACACCCAATAAATAAACAAACATTATCACACTAATACTATATTATTAACAAGATTACGTCACATAATCACAGTCTAAAGTCTTAATGAGATGATGAGACAAGATTTGATAATGAAATATAGCAAATGGAGCATTTTATTCTAGATAGCAAACAACTATTGCACCTGACAAACACTCACAATTTTTTTTTCAAGTTTTATGGCTAGAGCACATAATGATAAGAAATTCCTTCCTCAAATGAGTCAACTACTGCAACAAAGTAGTCAAGGAATCGGGTATAATATGCAGTAGCAAGATGAAAATGGAATAACACCTCAGTTAACGACGATGCGCAGGGAAATAACTTAAAATACTCGATGAATATTGGAAATTACCAAAGTTTTTGTGAACAGAATATTTGCATCGCTTTTACAAAATGTCGATTCAGATAACAGAATTTAATGCTTTGAATGCACAAATAAACTCAGAAGCTACCAGTGGATGCACAGATGCAACCGGAATGGCTACAGAAGCTGTTTGGTCTTGATCAGAATGTAATCTGCTATAATTTCTTGTGCCAATAAGTCCAGATGCGAATGAGAGTTGTTCCAAAGGAGGTTGCTAACCAATAAAAGCAATAGGATAATATTCACCTCTTGCACACGCAACATATCCAATATGAGAAAGAGTACATAATATCGATAGCCTTATGCCCAAACCTTTATGAACTTACATTAAGATCAATCCCCTCACCACCACTTCCATATCTTGAGACTCCAAATGAATTATGCACAGCAGAAACAATCTACAAAACCAATAACCAGAAATATAATTGTCTATTTGAGTTACAATGCCTTGCAAAAATTCATATTTTACCCGATTTAGATCAAGAAAAGTTCCGTCTCCCTGATCTGATATATTGAAGGATCCAACCATCACACTTGGACCTACTCGTTTGCCTAAAATGTGTCCAGTGCTTGACGTTGGATCAGGTGCTGCAGACACAATGAGCTTGGTATTCAGCTTAATAGTTGCTTGGCCTTGAAATATAGCATGAAAATTTTAGTGAAAGTAGTGTCCCCAAATTGAGGATTCAAGAAACAGAATCCGTCTGTACCCGAGCTTCGACCCGGCACAAGATTCTGCTGCTGTTGCAGCTGGTAAGCCATAATCTCTAACTTCAACTAATTACATAAAATAAAGTTCCCTTTTTTTTTCTTTATTATTGTTTTCTGTGAGCTGCTTCTAACAATATTATACCATTAAATGTCATCACCCATAAGGAGAATACATCATGCCTTGTTGAAATCCATATGCAACTGGTTGCTGGAAGCCATAACTTCCAGGATAAGCACCCCTAGCTGCCGGTACGCCTCCAAGGTAAGGTGTCGGATATCTAAGGCGCCCTACAAGCAATAAATATAGGCACATACACATTATATTATCAGTTGACATAAAAACTAGAAACTCAACTCACATGCTAATGGTCTTCTATGCATTAAGGTAGAATATTATTTATGAGGACTTCTACACATATGGATCAAATGCTAGAAACTTGACTCTAAAACAATGGTTCTTAAAAATATGCAGAAGGCAAAACTATTAAATTTGTACACAAATGTTGACGAAGAGACATTCCGTTCAACAACAGATGCTAGATAGAGATTTCACAAACTAGGCCACAAACCACCAACTCTAAGTTCTCTTTCCTGGAATACATTTCATAAAGTTTATAAGCCCAATTGGAAGCATAAGCATAAATGTTCAACTGCGGGATCTTGCCCAGAGTAACGTACCATTAATAGGGATAAAATATAAATATTATTCCTGAACTACTCGATATCCAAAGGATAACAGGAAAAAAATAATCCAATTATGCTATACAACATTCCAGAGGAAACTATGTCGGAACGGGTAACAAGGATACAATGAGGAAAAAGAAAGTAAAGCAGAAAGTCCTAATCATCCATAATATTTGAGATACCAATGGAAAGGAAAATAAAAGGTGGAAAGTCATAATCATCTAGAATATATGAGATACAAATGGAGTATATTACCGAAAGGAATCGCTGGAAGAGGTCTCCCAAGTGATGCCAAATTACAATTTGCACGCCTCCCATCAATAATGGGAGTCGGATCTGTGCACGCTCTTCGAGCTGATTCGGGGTCCCAAAAAGTCACCTAAAAACCCTCCATACAAACACCATTTAAGTACCCAAGTCATTAAACTGTCCACATTATATTACCTCAATCACAATAATTCAACCAAAATTCTATTTAATAACTCCAGAATATATCAACACGTCTAAAACTCTCATGCTATAAATCAGAGAGTACAGTCACCAGCAACACTTTTAAACAACAGAACGTAAGAATGCATGGTCAACAGAAACAAAATAAAGATTAAAATTCTCAGTCAAGATAACAAGAACTCACAAACCCATATCCTTTGGATCAACCCGTATTTTTGTCAGTGAAGAAGCCAAGCATTCAGAAGTCACGATTACAGTCCCTGGAGATTAATCTTTGTTGTTTTACTTCTAGGAATAATGTTCTACTCGTTAATAATCTCTTGGTTATCTTCCACCATATTGTTTTGGCTAGTTCCATGTTAGAAGACATGAAATATAGGTTGATAATCAGTTCAATTCGGAATTCATTAGATTCCATCCGTCACATTTCAAATTGAAAACAATACATTACAGTTCACCATGCAGGGAAGAACTGATAACCAAAATATACTACGTGACTTTTTGAGACAACAGATATATCACTGTGAACAAGGGAGATTACATGTAGAAACGAATAACATAAATTAAGAGCTCAATTGTGTGAGATTTTATATGAACAATACAAGAATTTATATTGCCTTTAACATGCTTCTTCTGAACGAGAAGATCAAGGATGCCAAGTAATAACTCGAACAGCCTGCAACACCATCAGTACACATACTATTCCAATTTTTAAGAAACAATTGAGATTGTGAAACTTCTTGCTTCTTTGTCAGGAGGAAATTACAAAAACCTACGAATTCTCCATAAAGTGCTCCAAATTACAGAAACCTAAGAAGTCACAAGGCATTGCTGCCCAAACCAATATAAACAAATTTAGATGAACGATTAACATGACACCACTTAACCAATATAAATCTATTTGCAGGGTCACTGAGATTAAAAATGGTCAAATCGATATGGGCACACAAATGAAGTTCAACTTCAAATTAGACAAACTGAAGAAGTTATTTAGCCAGCAAAACGTGCCGACGAGCATTCAAATCCTTATACTGTAAGAGAGGGTAATATCATGCTCTAAAAACTTGGAGCCTCTCATTCTTCAAGTAGTTTCTTTCATCTCTGATTGCGAGCTTATCCATTTTCTCTCATCTCTAATATCCAGATATGTCATGTAAAAAAAAAAAACAACCAATAAAAAATTATATAAAATAACAATAAGAACACCAGCTTGGTAAAAATGAGTTGGATACACGTGTAGATAGAGACAATTTTAGAGCAGTTAACTGCTGAAAACCTCAAATTTTACCAGTCCTACAGACAATCACATTCTTGGACTATGACTACGACGTTCATCCAAACCCTGCATTTAGAAATGTAAAGGTTAATAACGATTTCATAATTTCTATAGCATCATAAGCATTTCCATGGAAGAATTGTTACCCTTCTCTCCATTCTGATGCTTGTCTGACTCTCCATTCTGATGCTTGTCTGACTGGAAGTGCCAAACTGAGCCTCCACACTACTTGGATCAAACGAAAACAACAAATCCTGTTTCATATAGGTTAGCATATGGAAAGTTTAATACTATATTGGTAAAATGAAGTTAAGTTCGTGAATTCTTTTACCTGGAAGCTTAAGTCATTTCCAGAATATTGATTAGATGTAGGAAAAGCATTTGGTTGTTCATTCACATGGCTAGAGTTTGCATATTCCCAACTGTGATATCCCCTCCTTAAACTGGCATGAAAAGAAGATTGATCTTGGCTATTGTCCTCGCCTGAAGTGTCGAAATCCAATGAATCTTTGTCATCTTCTCGGGATTTCATCTTGGGGCATGTTGTTTTATTGTGTCCAGGAAGCCTACATAAACATTTTAAAAATTTAAAGAATATGTTAGCAAAGGTTACATGGATGTTTCACAATGTGTGTAAGGTCTGATAATAGATTTTAATAATAATAAGTGACTTTTAAGTATAGGTGAATATGAGAAAATACCTGCATTTTCTGCACCTTCTTGGTCTTTGTTTGGAATGTAAACCACTTGATCCTTTAGTTTTTGTAATTATTGGATCACGCACACCAAACTGATGCTTTTCATTTTTCTTTGAAGCATCGGTTTCATTTTCAGAAGGACAGGAGTTGGCATAAATTTCATGCATTCTATTTGTCACCCGAGCGATTGTGTCACATAATTCGCCATATCCTTCATCGCACATTGAGGCATAGTAACACATCTTGTTACAAAGGGAAATCAAAGAACCATAGCGTGCATTTTGAGTGACATCTTTACGAATTTCTGGTTCTTTTTTGTTGAGCTCGTTTTCCTTAGCATCCCGAGTCCACCTCTTCATTACACAAGTTGAAGGAATCTCTTTTATATGTTCGGCCTTCATCACTGCAAACATATGAGCACAAGGCCACCCAACCGTCTCGAATTGCAAGCAAGAGCACTCAAATAAACGGGAATCTTTATCAAATTTTATGGTAAATGCAAGATCAGGCTTTGAATACTCATATACAGTGTACATCTTGGTTGAACCAAATTCATGCTCAATTTTGCTCAATAATACAGCTTCCTTTTTAAGTTCTTCACGAACAATAAAGAACATATTTCTGGTCAAAGAATCTGCCGCATGTTTCTCGATATCTTTCAAATGAGTACTAAGTACAGGAGAGCTATTTATTGTTACAGCATTTGCCTTCGCTTCCATATACCTTAGCCTTGCCAAAGCCAAATCAAATGATCTAACAAATTCATATAACCTCATTTTAAGATTCACATGCTTCTTAAAATATGCATTCATACCTTCACACCGCTGAGTGCATTTCATATTTCCGAAAAAATGTCCCCTTAAGTATGCTTCTGCCCACTTTGAACGTTTTAAATACGTCTCGTTTACCCATGAGTTATTTTCAACTTGTTGCTTTTGGATACAATCCTTCCAGCTCCTTTCAAATTCTTCTTTGCTGCAAATTTTATCCATACATTTGTAGAAGACTTGACAAAAGCACGTGGAATGTACATTTACAGCCGCATTCCGTTGAAGGTGCCAGCTACACAATCTATGTCTCGCCTCTGGAAGAACATTCTCTATGGCTAGTCTCATAGCATTATCCCCATCTGTGATAACTGAAAGAGGTTTTTTACCTCCCATTGCAGCTACAAAGGTCTCTAAGACCCAAACGTATGTCTCTTCAGTTTCATCTGACAACAGTGCAGCCCCAAAAATTGTAGTCATGTAATGGTTATTTACACCGGCTAATATGACCAGAGGTTTCCGATAAGCATTAGTCCTGTAGGTCGTATCAAACACCAACACGTCTCCAAAATATTGGTAATCTGACTGGCACCTAGATTCAGCCCATATCAAACGACGTAATCGATTGCTTTCGTCGACATCAAACTTGAAGAAAAATGATGGATCCGAATCTTTTTTTGCACTGAAATAGGCCAAAGCACTTTCCGCATCCCCGTCTCGTATTTCTGCTTTTCGTTTGGCGTAGATACAGTTATACAAATCTTTCAAGGTAAAGCCAACTTTGTGGTATCCACCCGCTCGATGTGCAAAAAAATTCATTATCTCACTCGTACGCCAACCGACTTCATGCATGGAAATCGCTTCTACCAGATCAGACTCTTTCACCGATCGATGGGAGAACAAAAACGATACGCCCTCCTCAGTCATGAGTTCGTGGTTGTGTTTCTTTACAAATTCAGTGACAACAAACTTCTTTAGCCTCTTGTTGTACTTGACACGAAATAATGCTGGGCAACCAACTCTAGTCATGGGCCTGGGTTCTCTTGTTTTATCTTCCTTTTCTAACCACTTTTTATCACGGAACCCTTCCTTAGAACAAACCCATTTACGCATGTCAATCATACCCGAGCTTTTGTTGCGTCGTACATCATCCTTTCTGATTGAAAATCCCGTACATTTGGCATAAAAGTTATAAAAATCCCCAGCTTCCTCCTCAGATTCAAACATTTTTTCTTTTATATTATTTCCATCTACGTCAAAATCATCAATCCATTCTGGCTTATACCGAAAATGTTGTTTGTCTTTCGACGGTATTCCGGAAGTCCCAGCATTGTCCATCTTCCTGAACATCCCAAAGAAGGGTCATTAAACATAAAATTCCAAAATTTAATTTGAGGAAATATAATATCTAAGAGTATGAGTCCAATGTTGCAGCCATTTGTATGCTTAATATGAGTTTGACATCAAAACAAAACAACTAAAATATCATTTGTTCATTATTTTTGAATTCGTCCATAGAATTCTAGAAAATTTTTGCATTTGTGACATAAAAAGTTTGAAAAAAAAAAATTCAAAACACAACATAAAAAAATGTTATGTAAAAAATATATAACAGCCCTTAGAAAAAAAGAACATGGAGCAGTTCCCTTTAAAACACAAGCATAAATATGTTTCCCAATACAACCAAATAAAAATAGAATTAAATTAAGAAATACCTTCTTAGACTGAAAAATGAACGAAAAATATGAAGAATCGAGCAACCTTTGTCCGATGGATTAACGCAGATTAGGAAATGAACTGAGATATTTTTTTTTTTTTTTTGAAAGTATAGTTCGATGTCGTGGATTGGCCGTAACTGTTTATGGTAGTTACTTTGCCCTTTTTCTTATCTTTGATGACTCTTCAAATTCTCACTGGAGGTTTTTTTTTTTAATTTCTTTTGTCTTCTTTTTCCTTCTTTTTCCTATTAGTATCAAATAGGTTAGTTTTTTTTTTTTGTTACCTTGAATTTCTTGTGTGGAGTATACCAGTATTATAAACTTAAAGTGTTATTTAATTACAGATTTATATATATTTGTTAAATAATTTACATTTCATTGTAATAATTATTTGTTTTGTGAACTCAACTCATTTTTATAACTAGTACGTGGCCCGTGCGATGCACGGGAAAACAATATTACGATTGTGTCATAAGTTAAATATATAAATAACATTAATTATAATTCACCTATTGTTTTCAAAACAGGACTGGACCGAACATCCGACTGAATAGACCGACAATCGGTTTATTGTTCAGTCCGATTAACTTAAATAAAATGTTTGCTTGTAAACCTGTCAACACCAGTCGATTTTGGTGTTCGGTTGAACTGGTAAGAATAGTACGATTTTTTAAATATATTGTTATTTACTTTTATGGTCGAATTTGAAAGTTTGACTATTATTTTTGCATCAAAATTTTATTTATGTGATACTATTTATTCTTCCAATTTTTTGGATATTTATATTAATAAGATATTGGTCATAGGTTGTTGATAAGGTTTGTTTCGAAAAAATAGTAAAGAAAAAATACAAGTACATCCTATACAGTTTTAAATTTTGAACCAAGATGTGCTTTCTAAAAAATATTGATACCTATTAATAAGACCGTATAAATTTTAAATTACTATGTCAAATTTTAATTTCTTTAATGTTGAGTTATTATTAGGAAATTCAAGACAGTTTACTTTGATATTGTAATCGGCTCAAATTAATCTATATGTTAATAAGGTTTGTTTACAAACAATTTTAAAGATACAAATCTTGTACAACTATATTTTTTTTTTTAAAATTTTAAAAGAGATGCGTTCATGTTGAAAAAAAAATGTGCACAGACCTTTGTAAAATTAGAGCACAGATTTTTTTTATATAGCTACAAAATTTGTAAAATATGGAATGTATTTAATTCCATATTAATCAAAGTAAAATACAAAAATATTTTCAAAATTATTAATACACCATTTTCAAATGGGTTTGAAAAATAAAATTCATGGATATTTATAGATTTGGAATAGGAATCTTTTTAAAATTGATCTACAAATCCAATATGTAAAATATGATGATATCTTTTTAAAATTGATCTAAATATTAAAAGATGGAATGCATTTGATTCCATATTAACTAAAATAAAATACAAAAATAATTTGATATAATTAAAATGGTGTTCTGAAGTTGGTTTGAGAACAAAAAGTTAATGGATACTTGATTAAATAGAGCAGGTAACTTTATAAAATAGCTCTAAATATCTCACATGTAAAATATAAAATGTAATTGAGTACATATTAAACAAAACAAATCTATCAAAAATAATTGAAAAGGCTAAATCGATTTACAAAAATATGGACATATTTTCCTTAAGAGGTAAGTCAACAAATTTTCATCAACATATTTTAATATATATATATATATATATATGTATATATATGGACATATTTTCCTTAAGAGGTAAGTCAACAAATTTTCATCAACATATTTTAATATATATATATATATATAGATTAATGAATGTTGATATCAATTAATTTTAAAAAAGATTGGTATTGAAATAAAACTCAAGACTTTTAAAAGTATTATTTGTACCAAAATTGAGTAATTTGGTTACCAAAACTAAGTATCCATGATTGAAGGCATATTTAAATGTTTCTCATTTAATAAATAAAAAATAAAAACATAACTTGCCCATTAATTTCTAAAATCGGATTGTATCAATTTATTCCTAAAATTATGGATGCTCATTAATATGTAAAACTTATTTTTATGTTTTGACTTGAATTTATTTGTGCCTGACCATACGCGTTGTTCAAGTCCAGTTTCGAACTTGTTAATACACAAACAGAAATCTGATATCGATGTAGAAATTCAGTTAGGCTCATTTAATAAACTTTAGAATCTAAACTAAAACTCAAAACTATATACGAATTGGCCGAAAAAACGTAGGACTCAAATTTTTTGATATAAATTGCGTTAGTTGTTCGACTCGGCTCTTTAAATATTATATTCCCAAATAAAAATAAAAAATTCTGGGCTATGCATCTGGATGTGGGTGAGCTATGTGATATTTATCAACATGTATTTAAAAAAGCGTAAATGTTGTTGGTAGATTTCCTATGGCAATCTTACTATTTTATAAAAAATGCATACTTATTCCATTGAATGATATACTTTTATTTAAATTGCATTTTAAACATGTGCATTTGTTTATCAAAGTATATAAAAAGTTTGTATCATTTTGTAATTCTTCATCATTTATGTGTCTGAGCATTATTTATTAAATTATTCAAAAAAACTTTAACTGAAAAACTAATTGATACCTATATGTTAAATGATAGGTTGTAAGCTATTTTTAAGTCGATAGTTCCTGATTGAAAAACTAGCCAATATACAGAAGTATTTGATAAATTTTTTTTTAAAAAAAAAAATCGATAGAATTATTTGAAATGCTAAGTAGAGTAACTTATGAGGTAAGGTCAAACTTACTTTAAAAATTCCAAACCAAACTTATTCGAAGTAATAAGCTCATATATTCTACATCAACTTTCAATCTTATATAATTTGAGTATTTTTAAATATGTAATAACATACAATATTAACAATATAATTTCACTTAATTTCATACTTAATAATACTCGAATCTCGATCTACAATTATATTATTTCTTATTATTTTTTGAAAAATGTATTCATACTATATTTGTTGATACTTTTTTTAATCTTACCAAATTATAATTAAATGGTATGAAAAGTTAAAGAAATACTTAAAAACAAAATTATGTTATATTTGTTTGGATTTCAAATTTCTATCTTTAGTTGCTTAACGTTATTCTTAACTAAAACTTTAGTTAATTATATATTTTCTAAAGTTGATTTCGAACTAAAATCTTTAATATGGCGAATTATGTGACACGATCGCTCGGGTGACAAATAGGATGCATGAAATTTATGCTAACTCCCGTCCTTCTTACAGTGATACTGATGCTTCAAAGAAAACTGAAAAGCATCATTTTGGTGTGCGGGATCCAATAATTACAAAAACTAAAAGGATCAAGTGGTTTACATTCCAAACAAAAACCAAGACGGCGCATGAAATGCAAGTATTTTATTATATTCATCTGTACTTAGAAGTCACTTGTTAAAAACAATCATCAGACTTTACACGCATTGTGAAAGTTCAATATAAACTTTGCAGAACATATTAATTTATTTAAACTTTTAAAATGTTTGTAGGCTTCATGGACACAAGAAAACAACATGCCCCTAGATGAAATCCCAAGAATATGAGAATGATTCATTGGATTTCGACATTTCAAATGAGGATTTACGTGAAGCCCGGGATTTACAGCTAGCAGGCTATATGTGAGTTGTTATATACATGTAGCTGTTTGAAAATCCAAGAATGACAGCAACATCACAATGAATCAGCCCCCATCCAAACACCAAATAAACATAATACATAAAAATCGATAAGAAAACATTACTTTAGAAATTAGTCGAATCATCTTCAAAACTGAACAAAGAACAAAAAATCAACAAAATGCAGTGGCATAGGCACAAGATCAGAGACTTTCAAGTCTAGTGAATGTTAACTTTAGTTTAAAATAAAAGGTAAAACTTCAAAAAATAATAATAAATCTGATAAGACTTTGCGAAATTTAATTCTCGGTCTACTATCTTGGCCTCCTAATGGTGCTTCAAACAGTTACGGCACTAGATGTGCTGAAAAATACAAAAACACATTTTATATTTCAAGTAAAAATTTGAATACATTAAAGAGTTAAGTGGCATAATGAAAATTAATACTTCATGTAAAAGCAAGAATAACATTAAAGATCTACAGTAAGGAGCAGAAGTCCGATTTGTCGGTGAAGATTAAGATGTTGCAGCAGAGGCTGGACTCACAGCTTCCGAAGAGTGCGCTATTTTTCTAAGTATCTCCTCCTTGGCTTCATTTGCTTCATGGTAGAACATCTCAATAGCGACTTTCATTCTCTCCAGATATGAGTTTTCAATACTGAAATGCATCCCGTCCCGTAGCTCGTCATATAGTTGCATGAATCTTATTGTGAATAATCCACAATCATAACTGCAATACAACAATGTGATCAACAATTAATGTTGTCGTTAGAATATCTGATTCAACATAACTCAAACTCAAACTTACTGATTCTTTTGTTGTGGTGCCCAGTGCGCGATTTTCGTAGGATATTTAGAAATATTGACACTATAAGTTGTACCACAACCAATCTCTAAAGCCTCATGGAAACCCTTGAGCTTACATGACAATGTAATTTTATAAATAAAATATCA